AATTGCATCATCCTTTTTTATTTGTGCCCATAAGACTTTCCCGATACTTTTAGCGTTTTCTTGCAGGGTAATTGGATAAAAACTGAGCTAAAACACTCAAAGTTTGTTTTCCAATCCTCCACTATTTGCTAAAAGCTGAAAATTAGCAGCTTGTGTCTTAAGTCGTCCATCATTTATATTGACCTGCAAAGGGGGTTCGTTCGAACCCGTCGAACCCCCCCTCCTGCGCGCCTGTCAGTACGTACAAAAGGGGGTACAAAATAGTTGTTTTTTATTTGCTAAATGAATCTGCATGGCTCGACAAAAAAGCGGCTTTGTTAATAATGTGTTAACGGTACATTGAGGTTTCATACATTCATTCATGAGTTTTTAGACTGCATGTCTCCTCAACTGGCCACACGTGCAATGAAAATAGTTGTCAAACAAAACTTTTCGTGTTAGTTTTTCTATAAACCACCAAATTTCTAAGAACGTTTATGAATGATAGAGTTTGAAAGTCAACTAGATATCGGTAAAAGGCTCGTTTCTTCCAGTTTTAAACCGAATTAAGGCCGAGTAATTCGCCTGTAGTCTTAACACGATTTCCGCAATTAAATCCAACACTGACTAACAGTTCCTCCATCACTGCGGTGAAGCTTGCCATGGATGTTTCAACAAACAGGTCGAAGAGTGCTGACTCATCCGCTTTGAACAGTAACTCTAGAACGGTAATTTTCAGTCTGTCGGTGAACTTCTATACTATCGTTATAACCCGTGTGCGTGAATTGTCCCGAATACAGTGCGACAGACGGGCGACGAAAATGCAAACGGCCAATCGGTGAATTCAGGTTCTTTGAAACCTTATCTCGAATATTCTAACTCACTCGATTTGTCCCGAATACAGTGGATTCCTAATAAGCCGGCCCCTCATCCAAGTTCGATTTTGTTATTTTGTTGAATTAGCAGAAGTTGTGAATCCGCATGCCTTTATAGCCACAATATTTTTTACCCCCAATCCCCACCCTACGCATTCTTCAGTTTCATGTAACCTCTTGTCGTTTAATCGCTTAAAATGCAGACTTGCGTAAAATTCCGAGAAACAAGCCAATTTTTGATAAAGAATGGCTTATTGATGTTAAATGACGAGCCAGCGCCCTAAAGTTCTGATTGGTGCACAGTTGTGATAGCCGTTTAATCGACCGTTTTGATTGGTTCACTGTCAGAATAGGGAAAAATACGATGCGATGAATATAGCGTGTTCCATGTAAAATACCACTTTACTTTTTGGGACAGCTACCGAGAAGCAGACTTTGCTGAAGAGAAGTTTTGCCTTAAAAGTTCTCCCAAAACATGAATCAGGGACTTTTTGCTTTGGCATTTCTCCTTTGCGTTTCTTTCAGTAAGTACTTTTGGTCCGTTCTATTGCATTGATTCGCTCATTGCCATCTAGTTCTTTCTGGCAATGATAAGATGACATGCCAGTCGATCGATACATAGAGAATTTGAAATGGTTTTATTCAAAGTTGCCTTTCTCAGGGCTGTACTTTCTTCGCTGTATTGGTATACAATGATATGATGTTCAGTCGTTCCTTACAAGATTACGTTTCGTCTTTGTTACGGTTGTCTTTACGTATTAAATTGATCTGAATGGAGGGTCATCACAAAAAGCTGAGTTTGTCAATAGGCCGTTATATTGAAAGTTGTATTCATGTATTAGTGAAAAGATATTTTGTAACATTAAAACTTAACTGGCCACGTTTAATGGAAACAGTTGCTCTGTAAAACAACAAAACTTTTCCGCGTTTACGGATAAGCCAGCGCCTACTTCCATTTCACAGCTGAGGCTTTCAATAAACCACCAAATTCCTAATATATGAGCTTGTATCCCTCAAATGGCTTTACTGTTGCTTTAAAAAGTTCATTTCTACTAGTAATGCTATAATTGTCTTGGTTCGTGGTTCAAATGGAATTGAAGTCTATTTTATTGCTGACTTAGAAGTACATCAAATTTGGTGAGAGATAGTTGTTAAAATTCTTTTGAGGGGTTTCAGCTATTGAAAACTGTTCCACGCTTTTGAATCTCTACGACGAATAGAATTTCTAATAAAATTTGTTTTGGGGCTTGAAGGAAATGATGTCTTGGTATCTTCTGCAGCCTGAATTCCTCTGTACAAAGAACTATTAAAATTTCCTGGCGGTGTAACTTTCGCACATTTGAAGAAGGAAAATTCCAGCTATCATTATCGTACGCAATCGTGACTCGTGAATATAAGTGCGCGAAAGAGGTACTAAGAGGTACCACCACAGAGTAAGGGAGTGAAAACTTTCACTCCGAAAATGGCGATTGTTAATTATTTAAACTCGCTTGACTTTTTAAGTGCAGGTGAACTTCTCAAAGATCAGAAAGGGAAAGAAATATTAGACGTGCTCTATCATGTTAGGTTGTTGATTTAGTGGGAGTTCCGACTCAGCATGCCATAGTCATAACGATAATTTCAAAGTTTTCATTCTGTTGTTCATTTTTTAAATTCGAGTTCCACGAAAGAGAAAAGGGGCTAATTCTCTATTAGCCCAACGTCTATCCGTTGTTATGAAATAAATCGCTTTCCACGTAAGATTCCTAGAAACTGACAAAGGACTCATTCATATTTTCCCGGAATCGGGTCTGATTTGTAAGGATTATTGATGACATTGATAAGGCTTCACCCATTCTGATTGGACGTGGGTCAAAACTGACGTAATGCTAATGCCCTGTGTTTATTTTGCTGTGACATTCTGTCACTTAAGAAAAAAGCTGACTCAAATCAATATACCTAAAAAGCATGCATGCTCGAGTCTCGTGTAGCGGATAAAGAGCATGAAAAATTGTTTCATAACCAGGTCTTTATAGTTCGTTAAAGTTGACGTGAAGCAACCGGCGTAATTAAGCACGTGGAAACAATTGTCTACGCGAAACAAACAGAGCTATTTTTGCTGCTAGTTGAAACTCTTATACTATATTTGTAGTATAAAAGCTACTAAAGGCCAAAGGAGAATATGTTTTCAAAGAAGCTGTGAATCTTCATTTATGAATAGAGTAAGAGACAAAATGATGTCAAATGAAAGCAGTGCTAAAGGAGTTTAATTTGTGTGGTTTAATACATCCCAAGGGTCTACTCTCATGCGAATGTAGGCCGTTACTGGCCAAACTGATTTAACATTGATTCTTCTGAGGTCAGTTCTACTGATTCGCTGCCTTTAATGAATCAGGAGAGGAGACTGCCAGGCGCGTAGCTGGGGTTTCAGAAGGGGTGTTCGTACTGATACGATTATTTCTTAACAGCGGGAAATACTACGAGCGCCAAAGGCGCGAGCCTCTATTTTCTTGGGGCAAATTGCATGCTCCCCCAGAAAATGTTGAAATCTAGAAACCTGGAAATGCTATCAGTTTCAGTAGTCTCCACGTGAATATTTCAAACTCGATCACGTCTAAAATAACAGGTATTTGTAGTCATAACAACAATATTTTCGTTTGACTTGGAACATTCATATATAGTGATAAATACCGGCTGAGTACACGAAACGTTTTACAAAACTCGACGTGTGCTGCAAGGTATCTCGGAGCAAAAGCTTAAGCCCCCCAGTTCTCCGGCTCCACTGTCTTTGTACTGAAAGCAGCGTGAAACGTCAATATGTATTAAACACGAATCACCTAGGTCCCCCAAAATATTATTCTACGCCTTTCGTCTTTCGAGACTCCATTTGTCAAATCCGGAACGCCTGTTATATTAAGAAAATGCCTTCAATGGTGGGATTGTTTTGACTACATATGATACTAGTTCACTAGGATATACTAACATGGGCTACCAACTCACAACAGGACTATCCCGTTTCGTAAAGCAAATTTTGCAATTGCATCATCCTTTTTTATTTGTGCCCATAAGACTTTCCCGATACTGTTAGCGTTTTCTTGCAGGGTAATTAATTAAAAACAGAGCTAAAACACTTAAGGTTTGTTTTCCAATCCTCCACTATTTGCTAAAAGCTGAAAATTAGCAGCTTGTGTCTTAAGTACTCCATCATTTATATTGACCTGCAAAGGGGGTTCGTTCGAACCCCCCCCCTCCTGCGCGCCTGTCAGTACGTACAAAGGGGGTACAAAATAGTCGTTTTTTATTTGCTAAATGAATCTGCATGGCTCGACAAAAAACCACTTTGTTAATAATGTGTTAACGGTACATTAAGGTTTCATACATTCATTCATGAGTTTTTAGACTGCATGTCTCCTCAACTGGCCACACGTGCAATGAAAATAGTTGTCAAACAAAACTTTTCGTGTTAGCCTTTCTATAAACCACCAAATTTCTAAGAACGTTATGAATGATAGAGTTTGAAAGTTAACTAGATATCGGTAAAAGGCTCGTTTCTTCCAGGTTTGAACCAAATTAAGGTCGAGTAATTCGCCTGTAGTCTTAACACGATTTCCGCAATTAAACCTAACACTGACTAACAGTTCCTCCATCACAGCGGTGGAACTTGACATGGATGTTTCAACAAACAGGGTCGAAGTATGCTGAGTTATCCGCTTTGAACAGTAACTCTGGAACGGTAATTTTCCGTCTGTCGGTGAACTTCTATACTATCGTTATAAATGGTGTGCGTGAATTGTCCCAAATACAGTGCGACAGACGGGCGACGAAAATGCAAACGGTCAATCAATGAATTCAGGTTCTTTGTAACCTTATCTCGACTGCTATTCCAACTCACTCGATTTGTCCCGAAATTCCGAGAAACAAGCCAATTTTTAAAAAAGAATGGCTTATTGATGTTAAATGACGAGCCAGCGCCCTAAAGTTGTGATTGGTGCACAGTTGTGATAGACGTTTAATCGACCGTTTTGATTGGTTCACTGTCAGAATCGGGAAAAATACGATGCAATAAATGTAGCGTGTTCCATGTAAAAGGCCACTTTACTTTTTGGGACAGCTACCGAGGAGCAGACTTTGCTGAAGAGAAGTTTCGCCTTAAAAGTTCTCCCAAAGATGAATCAGGGACTTTTTGCTTTGGCATTTCTCCTTTGCGTTTCTTTCGGTAAGTACTTTTGGTCCTTTCTATTGCATTGATTCGCTCATTACCATCTAGTTCTTTCTAGCAATGATTAGATGACGTGCCAGTCGATCGATACATAGCGGATTTGAAACGGTTTTAGTCAAAGTTGCCTTTCTTAGGGCTGTACTTTCTTCGCTGTATTGGGTATACGATGATATGATGTTCAGTCGTTCCTTACAAGATTACGCTTCGTCTTTGTAACGGTTGTCTTTACGTATTAAATTGATCTGAATGGAGGATCATGAGAAAAAGCTGAGTTTGTCAATAGGTCGTTATATCGAAAGTTGCATTCATGCATTAGTGAAAAGGTATTTTGTAACATTAAAACTTAACTGGCCGCGTTTAATGGAAACAGCTGCTCTGTAAAACAACAAAACGTTTCCGCGTTCACGGATAAGCCAGCGCCTACTTTCATTTCACAGAGGCTTTCAGTAAACCACCAAATTCCAAACATATCAGCTGGTATCAGTGAAACATCTTTACTGTTGCTTTAAAAAGTTCATTTCTACTAGTAATGCTAAAATTGTCTTGGTTCGTGGTTCAAATGGGATCGAAGTCTATTTTATTGCTGAATTAGAAGTATATCAAATTTGGCGAGAGATAATTGTTAAAATTCTTTTGAAAGGTTTCAGCTATTGTAAACTGTTCCTCGCTTTTGAATCTCTACGACAAATAGAATTTCTAATAAAATTTGTTTTTGGGCTCAAAGAAAATGACGTCTTGGTATCTTCTGCAGCCTGAATTCCTCTGTACAAAGAACTATTAAAATTTCCTGGCGGTGTAACTTTCGCACATTTGAAGAACGAAAATTCCAGCTATGATTATCGTACGCAATCGTGACTCGTGAATATAAGTGCATGAAAGAAGCACTAAGGGGTACCACCACAGAGTAAGGGAGTGAAAACTTTCACTCCGAAAATGGCGATTGTTAATTATTTAAACTCGCTTGACTTTTTAAGTGCAGGTGAACTTCTCAAAGATCAGAAAGGGAAAGAAATATTGGTGCGCTTTCATGTTAGGTTGTTGATTTAGTGGGAGTTCCGAATCAGCACGCCATAGTCATAACGTTGATTTCAAAGTTTTCATTTTTTTTGTCCATTTTAGACTTTTTTTAATTTTGAGTTCAACGCAAGAGGGAATGGGCTCATTCTCTCTTAGCTCAGTCAACGTCTATCCGTGGTTATGAAATAAATCGCGTTCCACGTAAAATTCGTGGAAACTGACAAAGGACTCATTCGTATTTTCCCGGAATCGGGGCTATTATTGATGACATTGATAAGGCTTCGCCTATTCTGATTGGCCGTGGGTCAAAACTGACGTAATGTTAATTCCCCTGTATTTATTTTGCTGTGACATTCTGTCACTCAAGAAAAAAGTACTCAAATGAATATTACCTAAAAAGCATGCATGCTCGAGTCTCGTGTAGCGGATAAAGAGCATGAAAAATTGTTTCATAACTGAGTCTCTCTAGTTCGTTAAAGTTGACGTGAAGCAATCGGCATAATTAAGTACGTGGAAACAATTGTCTACGCGAAACAAACAGAGCTATTTTTGCTGCTAGTTGAAACTCTTATACTACTTAGCTACTAAAGGCCAAAGGAGAATACGTTTTCAAGGAAGCTGTGAATCTTCATTTATGACTAGAGTAAGAGACAAAATGATGTCAAATGACAGTAGTGCTAAAGAAGTTTAATTTGTGTGGTTTAATACATCACGAGGGTCTACTCTCATGCGAATGTAGGCCGTTACTGAACAAACTGATTTAACATTGATTCTTCTGAGGTCAGTTCTACTGATTCGCTGCCTTTAATGAATGAGGAGAGGGGGCTCTGCCTGACTCTACCTACGGAAACAAGGTTGCGAGTTAATTTAACTGGAAATCTGTTCGCTACAAGATAAAAATGGAACTTTTCTACGGTAGCGAGGAAGCCAACCCGTCTATCATACTTCTTAGTATTATCACTACTGAAAATGTTGCTCTTCTTCACTGGCGAAGACATCGCGGTTGAAAAAAAAAACGGGCCGATAATAGACTTTTCATTCGAATTTTTTTACTTGAGCTTCGTTAGCGATAAAACCAGATAAATTAAGTTTACGTAACTTCGTCATCGCCACAGGGAACCCGAACGGTGTATTAGCTAATAAAAGAATCAGTCATTTACCTGTGTTTCCGAAGTCTTTATGAGCTGTTTTGGAAGGGATTTGAATCCAATGAGTGGATTCAAATACCTTCCAAAACGGCTCATAAAGACTCAGGAAACACAGGCAAATAACAACTTTTATCAGCTAATACAGAGTTCAGGTTCCATGTGTCAGAACAATTATCAAGAGCATTGCTGGAGCGCTATAGGCCTTGGGACAGAACCAGTAGACTCTTAAAAGGTCTAGCTATCCGTGGTAACAACAGAGGGAAAACCGGTACTACTACAATCTGTTGGCACTGCTTTGCTGTTAGTGTATATACAGAAAGGAGTGCAATAATTCCCTGAAATTTTGAAAGTCTAATTATGTGTTCTATTTTAGCATGTGGCTTACAGTGTTATCAGTGCATAAGCACGAAAAGTTGGGATGACTGTGAAAGCGTCAAAACAAAGGTGAACTGCTCCTCTAGCAAGAACCGATGTTCTAAGGGCTACGAAGATATCAAAAAAGGCGGAGTATCAGTGAAGGGTTATGGCAAAGGTTGTAGCTCAGCAGATTTTTGCAAAACTGCGACAGACACCGACGCCTGTAAGGAAGGAACCTGTGAGTTGGATTGCTGCTCTGGAGATCTTTGCAATGCTGCCACAGTACCACTGGTCAGCGCCATCATCTTTACCGTATGCGCTGTTCTGGCCACTTCTCTGTAAGCCATGATCAGAGTACTCAAGTGTTGCAATCTATAGCTCCCAGTTTCGGTAAAGGGATAATTAAGACTGATTCGTTGTTGGGTTTGGTTTCTAATTGAGCTTTTTTATGAAAGAACGATTGTAAACCACTTAGCATTTGTTTCTATCTAATCGAGGGTAACTTTGCTTTTAGGTTTTGATCACTAAAAAAAAGGCAATATCACTTCTTTGTTTTTATGAAAGTTTACAAACATTTATAGGGAAAGTCTCAACTCTGTAAGTCATTCAGGGCAATAAATGTTCTTTTTATTAACAATTGAAAGCGTTGTTCTGTTAAAAAACAAACAAACGAGAAAAGGTACTATCACTGTTTATTTGTTATTTTTTATATTTTTGGGGGGGGAGGGGAGTTGGGTGTCCCACTGGAAAATTGTTTATCATGCTAGACCAACTCTAGCTTTAGTCCTGGTCTCTTGATTAAGAGTGCGTTCCATTGGGATGATTCGGATCAGGTTTGGCAATCCGAGATCACTCGGGTCATAGCGCATTAAAGGAACCAATGAATCATGGGAAAGGATTCATTGATTCAATTGATTTGCTATGTTCCGAGGGATGTCAGATCACTTATTCTAATCCGGATCGTCTCATAGGTACGCATCTATATCCTGCTGTGCTGGCGACATTTTCGTCAGAGCTCTCATAATGTCCGTTTGAGACCCTGGACCATCCTAGATCAATAACAAATGATATATAATACAGTATTTTTATACAAAATTAACCGGTTTCATATGCTAGTCAACATACTTTTAATTTTGAAAGTGATCGTTTCAAATAAACGAATCTGTTCTTCGCCCGACAATATTTGTAATTGTTCGCATCCTTGACTTTTTTACTCTCAAACAGTAGCTCTTGCAGCCTTGGATGATCATAGAGGTTGATGTGCCTTAGACCAAATCTGCTTCATTTAGGTTAGGCAGCCATCCATTACTTTCCCTAGCTACGCACGAATTTTCAAATAATGGCGTTTGGTCTGTTGGAAGCCACGCGGGATGGCACCCCGGTGTGCAGTGTCGATGTTACTGAAAGATACGCTCTCGAGCTCCCAACGCAGCGACTACCTTTAGACAGAGATGGGCTGTTTGTTGAGATGTTTCACATTGGGCTACAATAGACCTTTCCAAGGTTTTTAACGCCATTTTGGCTGGGGAGCAAACACGGCTAATATTACACTGATTACAGTGAATGTATGGGATTTTGGCCCACTTGAAACCGCCATAACGCCACTACAAAGAGGCGGATTGCCAACATTTGCCACGACTTTCAATCATGATAGTTTTATTGATATCATTCATTTAACAGAAAATAAGGCTATTAAAGAAGGTACGACGCTCGTAAATTCGAATTATAAATCTTCTCATGTGGCTTCTAATTTCATGGTAATTTGCATAATGTTGATTAGAAGGGTTTATATGAAATCTTAAAACTTCGTTTACGGTCGCTATAACCTGAATCTCAGTACAAATGTCTTTTAAAATAGATTTTCGCTGTGGAAATCCGCCTCTTTGTAGTAGCGTTATAGCGGTTACTAACACTCATTCGATAATGTGTCACAATGTTCATTCAATATATGTCTGTAAACATTCAATCCTCCACGTGACTACCTGTGACCGGGCTTCTTGTGCGTATGACAATGTTATTCAATTGGAGGTGGGACGACGGTCAGACATTGCCTGCATGGTGGACAGTAACAAGAACAATAATTTATGCAACTTTGAATCAAAGGACGTTTTACCTAAAAACCTGTGAATGCAGGCCCCTAGAATAGGACAGTACTCTAAGCGATGCGTAAGAAAAAGCAGCTCTAAATACTTCGCGAGTAGTCCCTTCCTATTTTTCACTAGAAATAATTACGACACACTGTTAGCCAATGTCGTGTCTAAAGCGCGCAAGTTTGTACTATGAACGGATTTTTGATTTTGACTCTGGAACGGTGATGTTTCTACGGCGCTCTTTCAAATCCATCCCTGTTCATAATGCTCCGTCCCCACACCGCGGTGCTCTTTCGAATTTTTGCGTGTTAAAATGCCCCCACTCCATCTCCACCCTGAGGCGATCTTTCGAATCCATCCTTGTTCAAATCCCGTCCCTACCCTGAGAAACAGTATCTCAATGTTAACTCGATCTTGACTAAAATTCAACTCTCCTCAACTCTAACTCAACTCAGGCTCGTAGCCCGGTGAATAGCTAATCCCTGTGATTTCAAAGAAACCTAGTCTACTGTATTACCGTGGAAATGTGTTTTTTATTTTCGCACATAATGAAACCAAATAAATAACATAGAAACGAACTATAATTTCCCTGAACAACTAAATACCATGTTCTTACATTCATTTGTACTTATAAGGGTCTTATAAAGACAAGTATTTTTTTAAGATAAAGTTGTTACTACAGTTTGTTTCAGTTTTATATGTGAAATTGTTATTGTTGATAGCAAGAAAAGGAATTTATATTCAAAGGCGTTAATACCTGACAAAGGCGATTCCACTTTTTCTCTGAGATGCAATGTTACCACGAGAGAGATATTTCAGCTACAAACCCGAAGAACGTCCTTTCAAAACACATTACAAACCCTTACACTCTGTTGTTGCTATTTGATATCATGTGAGAGCAATACACCTACGTAGTTTAACAGCTGTCTGATTCAGATGTAATAAATATCAAATAAGCAAAAAGAAATTTTACAAACAAAGGCTGCAGTTCATCGGCGCTATCCGCAATAAAACGAATAACGGATAGGGCCGGCTAACTCGACCCCATTAAATACATTGGCGGTAATGGGATAGGTGGCTTCTTCTAAGCCTAGCTCACATTTTTCTAGCAAACTGAGCAAATAGGGCGCAATACTTTTCCACCGCTAAATCTCCGCCATTTTGGTTCGGGCTTAGCCACCAGGTCTTTTTGTTCAAATATGGGAGAGTCGGTCACGTGCAGGATTGAATGTTTACAAGACATTTATCGAATGAAGATTGTAACACATCTTGTATCGAATGAATATTAGTCAAATTATCAAATGAATATTGTGGTATATTGTTGAATGAATATTGTAGTGAATTATGGAAGTAGTAAATCATCGAATGAATATTGTGGTACATTATCGAATTGATTGGTACTAAATTATCGAATGGATATTAAAGTAAATGATCGAATGGATTTGAACTAAATTATCGAATGAATATCGAATGGATATTTCAGTAAATTGTCTAACGAATAAATTGTCCAACCACAAATGGCATAATTTATCAAATACTTAAGAGCCAATGTCTGTAATTTTCGAGAATCGGTTGACAGTCGTGAATTTTTGAATTTCTTCATATTTTGCCCACATAATCTCTATAGTACACTTATTTCAAAAATCACATTAAAACTTGTAACGGCTTTTTATTTTTTCCTGAATCGGGCAAAGTTTGAAAAACGCCAAATCGGCGCTCTTTCGAGTATGAAATTAGCGAAAATTAAGCATTTTCTTCGTGCTCGTACATAAAAACGGGATGACATCTCTAAATGAAATCAAGTCACAAGGAAAACACAGACTTGTACTTTATAATTCTGCAATTATCTTTAGATAAGCTGTTTAAATGTGACTGTGTTGGCCGCAAGAAGAAACACGATTTCGGCTCTTTTCAAAAATGGCAAATTTGACCTAACTTCACCATCGAGAAAAACAACTGATACATGGAATTTCAACATGAAA